AGGTGTATACAGATAGAGCTTCACCATATGGAAATAAAGTGCTTTTTAGCGTGGCGCAGAAGCTCTAAAGGCAAGTTGACTGTATTGCATAAAGCTATTTTGATATCTAACCATTTAGACGCCTTGCATTGAAACTCGTGATATGTCACCTGGTATCCTTGGCTTAGCAGTGGACAAGGTTTTCAGAAATCAAGCTGAACTCAGTTAACTGTTTGAACAGTCGAAAACGTTGTATGAATTCTTCTCCCTTCAAATAAAATTGAAAGTTTGTATATTTAGATAGTATTTTATTTCCGTTTCTTACAATGCCAAGTAAAAAGAATTTTAGTTTGGGTCTATCTTCAGGTTAGAAAGGGTAGATCGTCTGGTAATTCACCTACTCGCATTAGCACTGCCACAATAGGAGTGTTCTGAGGTCATGGCCTGTATGTCTCTACAGATCTCATATTCACAGATGAAGAACAGATGCAGTGGCGCCTACAGTACAGATGAAGAACACTTGGTGAGGAACAGATGGGACGAAACCAATGAAGAGCCGCAGGTATATTTCAAAGGAAACGTAGTCATCTATATATTTTTTGTACAAATGGATTGAACAATACTTTGTCTATTCATGGCTTTTTTCCAAATAATATCTAGCTTTTCTACAATTATTTTAAAAGTATCGACGAAAGTGGCAAAAGTTTAACATTCTTAAATTTTTCTTCCATTCGCATATCAGCAATTACAGTATTATAGAAAGCTTTTATGTTAGGTGAAAGATTAGAGGTACGGCTCATTTACATGGGTTTTCTTTTCTAATTTCAGACGAAGAGCACAGAAGAAGATGGATTTTCGGCATTGATTTGGCGTTTCTGCATTGGTTAGGTGTTTCTGCATTGATTTTGTGTTAGGTGTTTCTGATTGATTTTGTGTTTGGTATTTCTGCATTGATTTGATAATTCTGCATTGATTTTGTGTTTGATGTTTCTGCATTGATTTTGTGTTTTTTTTCTCCATTGATTTGGTGTTTCTGCATTGACTTGGTGTTTTTGCATTGATTTTGTGTTTATGCATTGATTTGGTTGTTTGAATTTCTGTTTTTTGTTTTTGAGTTATTTTCTGTGATATGGTTTGCTTTTATTGTTTGGATTTATGATTTTTGGCTTGGATTTCGGTTTTTTGTTTTGGATTTTTGTTTTTTTGGTTCAGTGTTATCTGTGAACACCTGTGGAAGTTGAGGTTAAAGTTGTTGTATTGGGTCAAAGTTCAAGATGGTAGTTGAGGTCAAAGGTCACATTAATTAAAAGTATAAGCTGGTTATACAGATGTACTGGCTTTCATTGTCTTTCTGTATTGATTGGGTGTTTGGTTTCTGCATTTGTGTGGTGTTTTTGCGTTGATTTTGTGTTTTTGCATTGATTTGGATGTTTGAATTCCTGTTTTTTTTTTGGTTTTTTGAGTGATTTTCTGTGATATGGTTTGCTTTTTTTTGCTTAGATTTATGATTTTTGGCTTGGATTTCGGCTTTTTGTTTTTTTGGTTGTGTTATCTGTGAACACCTGCGGAAGTTGAGGTCAAAGTTGTTGTATTGGGTCAAAGTTCAAGATGGTAATTGAGGTCAAATAAATTAAAAATATAAGCTGGTTATACAAATGTACTAGCTTCATTGTGCATATTTAATTTTTTTTGCAGGTTATCATTGCAGGATTAATATTAATTTAGGTTTATTACCTTTTTGCCTTTTGCCAGGCTTTCTACTTTATTTTATAATATCATTGTGATTGTCTGCTTTTCCTTTTTAGCCGTCAGCGGGAACTCGATAGCTGTCTTTGCTATTGGGTTTGAGATACACCACTCAGATGACCATCAAAGCACGGTTAGTATATATTTCTAATCAAATTCATTGGGTTATATTTCCTTTCAAGTAAAAACCGACAAAAATTTCAAAATATTTTTTCCGATGTTAAAAGAGTAAAGAGGTTTTCAAAACTTCAAAGCATTTGCAATAATGACATCATAAAATCCTTCGTCGTAGTGAGCCACAGGTGTGTCTCAACATTGCCATGTTGTCTGATAGTACAAATAACTTTTAATATAAGATTGCAATTACAGAAAATCTAATTTGCTTATAAATTTATCCAAAATATTTGGATTTCAAAATGTTTGCACCAACGACCTTTGTGATCAATTGCCAAGGCTTTGGCAGTCAGATAATTAGATCCCTTTAAATACCATAATTTACTTTACTACTGTTTTTCTTGCAGGCTTCCAAGAACCAAAATAGCTGGTCTTTAGCTATACAATAGAAGGGCATTCGACTGGGAGGTCAATCATTACATAGGTTATGGTGGAGCACAAATGTCCTAAAAGCGAATCTTGGAACAAAGCTAGGTATTGATAACTGAATTATTGCTGATAAATTTGATATATTGATTTTGTCCTTCCAAATATTGGCATTCGAACTGGACAGAACATGGTATGACTTAGTTTATTATTGACATTTTTGATGTGATTTTTAATGAACAGTTTTTGATTCATAACCACTTTGTCAAGCTTTATGCTTGCGTTTGCAGTATTATCAGATTTTTGCATATTGTTAAGTTATTTATAATTTCAGGTGTATACAGATAGAGCCTCAGCATATCAAAATAAAGTGCTTATGGTGTGGCGCAGAAGCTCACAAGGCAGGTTGACTTTATTACATAAAGCTATTCTCATATCTCACCATCTAGAATCCTTGTTTTTGAAAGTCTTGATGGTCACAAGGTATCCTTGGTGGTCTACCAGTGGATAAGGTTTTCAGAACTTAACGTAACTCAGTAAACTGTTTGAACAGTTAAAAAAAATTATATGAATATCTCTCCATTCAAGTAAAAATTAAAAGTTAAGTCATTTGATAGAATTTTATTTATTTTTTGTTACTATGACAAGTTTAATGAATTTGATTTTGGGTCTTTTTTCAGGTTAGAAAGGGTAAATCGTATGGTAATTTATCCCCCTGCAACAGCACTGCCACAATAGGATTTCTGAGGTCATGGCTTGAGTGACTCTACAGAACTCCTATTCACAGATGAAGGACAGATGAAGAGGAACAGATAAAGGACAGATGAAGTGGCTGCGGCGATTCCTCCACCTATTTTTTGTAAGCTTACTTCTGACTTTTTTTTCAAAAGGATAGTACCATAAATATTAAGCTTTTAGGTATGTGGATTCTCTGAAAGAAATGTCGAGTATACGAATTGAGTGGCAATCTGTATTCCATAAAGGGAATGCTATGCCAAAAAGTCCATAATCCATAAAACGTTTCCAAACATGGACAGATAAAAAGATATTTTGACTAAGTGCAATTTTAACCATGTCCCTGCTCAATAGGGATTTTCACAACAGTGGCAAAATTAGTCTCCTATTCTTTACGTTAACAAACTGTTTAGGAATGCACATGTACAACAAGTAGCCCTAAGAGACTTGAATGTTATTCACTCAATGTTTTGTTTCANAAAGCATATTAGCAAA